GTCGAAAAGATAAAAGTCTGGACCTGGGCTTTCCATTCTGACTGAGCTAATAAGGGGATTAAGACGTAGACTTGGCTATTGATCTTCTTTTTATAATAATCACTATTGATCAAGATCCTCATTGATCTAGTGATAATCTTCATTGATCACTAAACGCTGAGTAAAATGATCGGAATCGGAAACAGAATGACTGCAATGGTCGATAGCTTACATACGAGAATGTGCACAAAAGGGTATTTTGCGGGTGAAGTGCTAAAAAGCGCAATGAAATAGAGCTTTCTGAAAAGTGGAACCACCAAATATGGTTTTGTGTACATCCTCGTAGGTAAGGTGAAGTTTATCGGCAGAATTTAAAACATTCTACCGTTCTACCGTAAACCTCTTGATGGTGCCTTCTAAAACGTGCTCCTTTCGTATATTTAAAGAAATTTTTTGCCATAAATTTCATTCTTTGCAATTGGTTCAGCAGGTGTATGTCCCGTAAATCCTGTGATAGATCACCGGCCTCTAGTGCGTGCCACATGGGCGAGGTACTCTTACAGTGTTTACAGGAGCTAGTAGTAGTATTTTGTTCGGGGACTTTTCCTTTTATTAATTACGATGTTATCTCTGCTGTAATTTTTCATTTAGTGGAGATGTCGAATAGACAGGAGAGCAGCAAGACTCAAATCCAAGACCCAACTCCGGAGAACCAACCATTGTTCCAAAAGGACTTCTTGGTACAATTGCCAAAGGAGGTTTGTTAAAGCCTGTGGGAGTAATTGTTTAATGTTAGATTGCTTATCGCATCATCGCCCATTTGACCCCGCGCGATTTGATGACTTGTGCTGGCGTTTCACGGACGTGGCAACGGATTTGTGAAGATGATCAGACTTGGCGACAGAAATGTTTCGAGAACGGATATATGGAATTTGATGCGCCAAGGTTTGTTACAGTTTTGAGCTGATAATATAACAATTAAAAATACGTATCTGGTAGATTTATATTAAGCTAGATTTTAAGACTTGTAGAATATCGGACAGTAATGTTATTCATTCCAAAGGAAACAAGGATATAAAGCATATGATAATGTTTAGATGAACTGTTTCATATTTAGGAAATCAATTATAAAAAGACTCGTCTCAAACTTGTTATTTTAGTTTTCGTTTTCTCGGAGGTTTGGCGGCGAATCCAGCGCATCGAGCAAATAAACAAGTGGGGATCACAATCTGTTCACATATGGACCTTCAAGAAGCACAGCAGAATCGACAGGCACGCGAGATAGCATATGGACAGTTAGTGACCGAACTTATTGCAGAATGGAGTTTTTTCTAGATGTTATGAGCGTTCGCCATGGAAGTCGCTGTACTTGCGAAAGAAGCGAATCGTTTCGAATTGGCGATCCCGGGCGATTCAATCAAGCGCTGTTCTAGAGGTTTGAATAAATGGTTGGACCGAAAAAATGGTTTTTAGGATGACTTTAAATGCGCCATTCCTCTACAAGTTCACCCTGGTCTTATCATTACTGGTTCTCATGATTATAAATGGCGGGTCTGGAATGTTGAAGATGCTCAAGTTTGTTTTTTTTAATTATTATTGTACGTCCGAATTTAGCCAGCTTTTACTCTAACTGGTCAGAATGGTCTCCTTTATTCGTATGAAGTGAGCGAAGATCGCAAATACATTGTCTGGTTAGTTAATAGATTATAGCTAGTGCAATTCATGAGAGTTGCCAATGAAGCTAAAAAGATTCAAACAGAAATTCTTATGACAACAAATTCTATTGTAATATTTCAGTGGCGGGTTTCATGAAACGTTGCGTGTTTGGTGTGGTCAAACCGATGCACAGCTTCATGTTTTGCAGGGACATACGGATAGGATTTCATGCATGAGTCTACATGGGACAACGTGAGCGATCGGAATTTTCTGTTGAGCTAAGATCATAATGTTTTAGTCTTGTTTCTGGATCGTGGGATCAAACACTCCGAGTCTGGGACCTTATCGACGGAAAATGCCTTCACATTTTGGCTGGCGAGGCGTGGGTATGTGGATTAAAGTTAGGGCTTAAACAAAGCTAAATTTCAGGTGAGTTTTGTGAAATTTGATGGAGAACGGGTTGTATTTGATGGCCAAGCTTTTGCCGTAAACGTTTGTACAGTTATTAGTGCAATTTATGATATTCTATTAGGTTTGGAATGTACACACGGAAGAGTGTTTGCACACGCTGACGGGTCACACGGAGAGGATCAATTCTCTTTTGGTGAGTTGAGTTGTCAATTTTTGGCTTTAATGAGGATTCTGTTTTAGTTTGAGCCAGAGCGCGATCTTGTCGTGTCGGGCAGTCGTGACGGAACTATTCGCGTCTGGGATGTGCAAGGAGGGGGTGGGTTTTACTTGTTCACTATTCTTTTTCAATGTCATCTATAGTTTTTTCTTTCAGCATGCATCGCACATCTTGTCTTTCATGAAGGGTCACGGCTCAGTGGTTACTTTGGGATGCAGCTTCGCGGAAACATTTTGGCCTGCTATTACGCCTCGGAAGTTAAGGTATGTTTAATCAGCCCTATGAAAACTACTTCCATTTCTTTAGGTTTGGGACATTCGTGAGGGTGGCTCGTGCCTTCACCACTTACATGACGTAAATGGTCGTACGTCGGCCATCACTTCATTGCAATTGCTCGACTCCGGCCTTTTGGTGACAGGTTCGATGAATGGCTCGGTCATGCTCTGGGATGTGGACAAAGGTATACTCTTTTAAATTACCGATAGGACTATGGTAACAAAATCCATACGATAGTCTAGAAAATCCAAACTTCAGGCTTTTATTTAGACTAGTGTTTATAACTACGTAACATGATTCATTGACGATTCAAGCTTAGAAATATGTTGATAGTTAGTATTCTGTTGTTAATTTTTTATCAACTATACGAGAATTTTGCAATTTAAGGTATCTTTGTTCGTGATCTCATTCGTCTTCCATTGGTTGACCATCGCCATTATTATTGGAATCTCGAAGCCTCTGAAACATTACTCGTCTGTGGAGTTCGAGTTTGTGAAGACCGATCGTTAGATGAGGCGAAGATCATCTTGATCGATTTTGACGCATCATATCCATAGGTATATTTGTATTTTTGCTCTTTGCCTGAGCCTTATTGTGATTTTCCGAAGAATTCTGTCGGTATTTCCATTCCTCTGAACTTTCATTGCTAGTGATTTCCTTTCAGTGGTTACCCACATTTACACACTTGTATGTCATAGTCTTGATTTTGTGAACCTTTTTTTTCCACTAACCTGGTGTTAGTCATTGACCTTTTTGAATCTTTCAAAATCGTCAAGTGCAAACCATCTTTCAAAATTTCTATCCCTTCAAATTAGTTGGTTGGTTGGTTGCTGTCAACGTTCGATTATTTTCCGCATCGAGTCCTGTGATTCTTTATTTGCTCGATTTTTCAAGATTCAAGAATCTATATCTCACCGGTTTAAATCTAAATAAAATGCATAAAGTTAAAGGAAGGGCATTTCAAAGTTTTTCTCTGCGAAGTTTAAAAGACCCTGACCTTGCATTTGACAGCAATTTGGACCCAGTAAGATGAAAAGGGCGTCTCCTGAAAACTGAACGCTGTTCGAAGGAAAAGAAATAAAATGGGGCCAGATTGGTCGGAATCGCCAGTTGCCCAAAGTTCGTATTGATTCGCGGCGATTATTAGAACATTCTCATCGTTTTGAAATTGCTTCGGGATGCGAATGATGGCCCTGGAAAATGTCGAAAATGATCAATTGCAGAATCAAGTATGATTTGGGAGTCACGAGTGATTGTTGAAGTCTGCGATCTGTCGAAGATCAACGATTTGAAAGATGTTCGGGAAATTTGACGATCGATCTTTCCAAAGCTCCTAAGAATTACGATCTGTTGGACTTAATCTGTCATTTTCTCTTTCTCTTTCTCTTTTCCCCTTTTTTCTTCAGACAATAATGCCCCTTTGTGATGACACGAGAATCGGTGATAGGCAAGAGAATTTGCGACTTGCACTCATAAATTTTCACTTCCAATCACTCATAAATTCTATCGACTTGTTTACGCATCTCGAAAAAAAACTGAAAATTATCACTTTTCGGATTTCTTTCTCGAAAAATGCCAAAAAATTCCCCTTGAGAATAAATCCCAAAGCAACTCCTCAACTTTTGCCCTGAATTTTTTGAATCATGAAAAATCGAGCAAATAAAGAATAACAGGACCCGATACGGACTAAAAATAATCGAACGTTGACAGCAAGCAGTCAAACAACTAATTCGAAGGAATAGCAATTTTAAAGATGGTTTGCTCTTGACGATTCTGAAACATTAGAGAAGGTATAAAAATAAAATAAAGTTAAGTGTTGAAAGACCAAAAGTGATCCAAAAGTTCACCTTAAGTGGGTGCACTTCCCTTGTTAGAGTTTCGTGTAACAAAATGGTAAACAAAATTCTGTTAATTGAAACCTGTGAACAACCAAAAGTCAAAAAGCACACCGTACATTTGAAAACTGTAGGCCGAAAGCCAGAGCTTTTGTCGGAGTGAAAATTTTCATCTGCGGAATCGTATTCATTGAAGGAGCCTGGCAGTTGACCTGGGTTGCTTTTTTGCCAATATCAGTTGCTTATGCATTTTATTTAGATTTAAACCGGTGAGATATAGATTCTTGAATCTTGAAAAATCGAGCAAATAAAGAATCACAGGACTTTATGCGGACTAAAAATAATCGAACGTTGACAACAACCAACCAACTAATTTGAAGGGATAGAAATTTTGAAAGATGGCTTGCACTTGATGATTCTGAAACATTGAAGAGGGTCAATGACTAGCAGCAGGTTAGTGGAAAAAAAAGGTTCCAAAATCAAGACTATGACATACAAGTGTGTAAAATGTGGGTAACCATTGAAAGGAAATCACAAGCAATGAAAGCTCAAAAGGAAATACCGACAGAATTCTTCGGAAAATAACAATAAGGCCTAGGGAAAGATCTAAAATACAAACACACCTATGGATATGATGCGTCAAAATCGATCAAGATGATCTTTGTCTCCTCTATCGATTGAAATCCACATACGAGTAATGTTTCAGATGCTTCGAGATTCCATTCATAACGGCCAAGGTCATCCGAACGAGATCGAATGAGATCACGAACGAAGGTACCTTAAAATGAAAAAAATTAACAAAACTAAACTTTGCCATAGATTTAAGCTTCAATAGTTAACGAGACAAGTCGTCTAGTGAAAAAATTCCACCTTAAATGCTAGCTTGCAGTCTGGATCTTATTGCCTAATCCAAATTTAAAAAGGTAATTTCAAACAGCATACCTTTTTCCACATCCCACAGCTTCACCGAGCCATCAAGCGAACCTGTCACCAAAAGTCCGGAGTCGAGCCATTGCATTGAAGAGATGACGTTCAACGTTTGGCCAGGTAAGTGGTGAAGGCACGAGCCACCCTCACGAATGTCCCAAACCTGAATAAAAGCAAGGAGTTTTGATAGGATTGATTAAACATACCCAAACGTCCGAACCGTAATAGCAGGCTAAAATGTTTCCGCGAAGCTGCATCCCAAAGTAACCACTGAGCCGTGACCCTTCATGAAAGACAATATTTGCGATGCATGCTGAAAGAAACAAATATAGATGACATTGTAACAGAAATGTGAAAAAGTGCAACGCACTTTCTCTTTGCACATCCCAGACGCGAATCGTTCCGTCATCACTACTACCCGACACGACAAGATCGCGCTCTGGCTCAAACTAAAATAGAATCCTGATTAAAGCCAAAATTCGACAACTCAACTCACCAAAAGTGAATCAACTGGCCTCGTGTGACCCGTCAGCGTGTGCAAACACTCCCCCGTGTGTACATTCCAAACCTAATAGAATATTATAGATTGCACTAGTAACTGAACAAACCTTTACGGTAAAACCAAGGCCAACAAATACAACCCGTTTTCCATCAAATTGTACACCATTCACCTGAAATTTAACTTTGCTTAAGCCACAACTTTAATACACATACCCACACCTCGACAGCCAAAATGTGAAGGCATCTCCCGTCGACAATGTCCCAAACTCGGAGTGTTTCATCAGGCGACCCAGAAACAAGACTAAAACATTATGATCTTAGCTCAACAGAAAATTCCGATCGCTCACGTTGTCCCATGTAGACTCAGGTATTCAACAAAACCCGTATGTCCCCGCAGAACATGAAGCTGTGCACCGTTTTGACCACACCAAACGCGCACCGTTCCATCAATGCCGCCACTTAAATCTTACAATAGAATTTGTTGTCATAAGAATTTTTATTGAATCTTTTTAGCTTCATTGGCAACACTTATGAATTGCACTAGCTATAGTCTATTAACCAACCAGACAATGTATTTACCATCTTCGCTCACGTGATACGAAAAAGGCTGACCATTCTGACCAGTTAGAGTAAAAGCAGGCTAAATTCAGACGTACAATAACAATTAAACAAAACAAACTTGAGCATCATCAACATTCCAGACTCGCGACGCCTTCCAGTACCGCAACGCTTTATCATAAAAACCCGTAAAGATACGCGCAGACTGATTTTCTTGATAGAAGACTTGATACTTAATAACCTCATTCTAAAAACCATCTTTTCCGTCAAGCCATTTATTCAAACCTCCAGAACAGTGCTAGATTGAATCGCCCGGGATCGCCAATTCGAAATGATTCGCTTCTTTCGCAAGTACAGCGACTTCCATGGCGAACGCTCATAACATCTAGAAAAAAATTCATTTCGCAACAAGTTAGGCCACTAACTGTCCATATGCGATCTTGCGTGCTTGTCGATTCTGCTGTGCTTCTTGAAGGTCCATATGTGAACAGATTGTGCTTTCCGCTTGCTTATTTGCTCGATGCTCTGGATTCGCCGCCCAACCCCCGAGAAAACGAAAACTAAAAAAACAAGTTTGAGACGAGTCTTTTTACAATCTATTCCCTAAATATGAACCAGTTCATCTAAACAAACATTATCATATGATTTCCCTCGCTTTATATCATTGTTTGCTTTGGAATCAATAACATTATTGTCCTAGATCGCACAATTATTTAAATCTAGTTTAATATAAATCTATCAGATATGTACTTTTAAGTGTTATCTTATCGGCTCAAAACTGTAACAAACCTTGGCGCATCAAATTCCACATATCCGTTATCGAAACATTTCTGTCGCCACGTTTGATCACCTTCACAAATCCGTTGCCACGTCCGCGAGACGCCAGCGCAAGTCATCAAATCGCGCGGTGTCAAATGGGCGATGATGCGATAAGCAATCTAAAACTAAACAATTACTCCCACAGGTTTCAACAAACCTCCTTTGGCAATTGTGCCAAGAAGTCCTTTTGGGAGAATGGTTGGTTCGGTTCCACTTGGATATTGGATAAAACACTTGGATTAGCTTGGATTTGAGTCTTGCTGCTCTCCGCTCTGTTCAACATCTCCCCTAAATGAAAAATTATAGCAGAGATAACATCGTAATTAATATGAGGAAAAGTCTCCGAACAAAATACTATTATTAGCTACCGTAAATACGGTAATAGTAGCACCCGTGTGGCACGCACTAGAGGCTGGTGGGGTACTTTCACAGTATTCAAGGTATATACACCTGCTAAACGAATTGAAAAGAATGAAATTTATGGCAAAATGTCTCGTTAAATATACGAAAGGAGCGCGCATTAGAACGAGCCATCAAGAGTTTTACGGTACAATGTAAACAGCGGTGGGGGGCGATAATACATTCCCCGGAAATCCTGAATTACTCCCCCCCCCCCACACACTGTATTATCGCCCCCTTCCCCCTGGGAAACCTGCAGCGTTGCCCTCCACGCGAAACGAAAAAAACCTTATAACACTACTTACTGAAAACAAATACCCCTTTAATACAATTATTTCACTAATAGATATTACATTTAAAAAAAGTCCTCACCGTGTTCAATTGGATACTTCAATTGGATACAAGATGCCTCGCTTGGATTGAGCCTCATCATCGACGTAGCAGTCCTTTTGCCCCATTCCAACCATAACCCCTTGATGGCGAGGGCGACCGACGATTGACGGGAAGACGGCGCGCGGAGCATCATCACCAGCAAAGTCAGCCTAAAAAGAATTAGTACCGTAACTTGAGCAAAACCTAAACTAAAACCAGCTTAAGTAGTTTGACGTTAAAAAAACAGTTACCTAGGCAATGTATAACAAGTTAAACAACAGTTCGCCCTGCTCAGGGACTACGAGATCCAAAGTTCACCTTGCACATTCCGGATCCGTTGTCAACCACGAGTGCAGCCACTTCTTCGTCGCACATTTTGTCCAAAGCCAGTTGATCAGTTGCAATATCTGTTTTAAATTACCTAAGTCTATAGGCAAGAAGATCCAGACTGCAAGTTGGCATTTAAAGTAGAATCGATTCACTATATAACTTGTCTCGTTAACTATTCAAGCTTGAATCTATGGCAAAGTTTAGTGTCTTGTTGTTAATTTTTTTTCGTTTTAAGGTACCTTCGTTCGTGATCTCGTTCGATCTCGTTCGAGTGACCCTGGCCGTTATAATTGGGATCTCAAAGCCACTGAAACATCGCTCGTATGTGGAGTTCGATCGGTAGATAGGACCGAGGCCACAAAGCTCATCTTCATCGATTTTGACGCATCATATCCATAGGTTTATTTGGATTTTTGCTATTTCCCTAGGTCTTATTGTGATCGTTGTGAAAGATCGTTTATTTTGTCCTTTTTGTGGATGGTAGCAACTGTTTTGTTTGTTACTTCCTTTTTTATCATCAATTTTGAGTTGTAAATGTTTAATCTTGTTTATAAACCAATACAAAATACGTAATTAATATAAGGAAAAGTCCTGAACAAAATACCGTACCCAGTATTTACGGTATATACACCTGCCGAACGAATTGAAAAGAATGGAATTTATGGCAGAAAGTCTCGTTAAAGGAGCACGTTTTAGAACGCGCCATCAAGGGGTTTACGGTAGAATGTACACAAAACCATCGTTAGTGGCTTCACGGCTCAAAAATCGATTCCATTGCGCTTTTTAGCACTTCAGCCACGAAATACCCTTTTGTGCACATACTCGTAGGTAAGGTGATGTTTATCGGCAGAATTTAAAGCCCCGCTCGGATGTTGGAGCTGCGGTCGGCGAAAATTGACTTCTTTATTTTACATTTTGACTTTAAAGCTACGGTCTAGCTAGTTTAGGAGTGGTTAGCATTATAGGAGTCAAAATTTGGCATAAGCCTCAGCGTTTCGTGATCAATAAAGATCAGTATCAATAGTGATTATTATAAAAAGAAGATAAAAAAGCTACCGTAAGCTGATATTCAAAAAAATCCCTTGCTACCATCCGATTCAAAAAAAATTCAAATTCGCATATTATTTGAAAATTTGTAGACAAACTAGCGTCCTGCTATTCAGGATGGCGAAATTTCAAAAAACCAAAGCTCAAAAACAATTGAGCGCTTGTAAAATCGCTTGTTGTTGGGTTGACGATGTGGAATTGCAAAGATCACCCTTGCACAGACATTGCTCACCGCGAAGTCTGAAAACGATTTGGGCAATTGGATGATTACAATTGGGCAACTGAAGACTTTGTGCTTAGATTTGGATCATCAATACTACTTAGTAATAAGAATACTTACCGTAAATACTGTAATAGTACCCCACACCCCTCGTACAGTCGCGTAGTCGCAAAGTTTTTTAGTATTTCATTTTTTTTTTAAAGCGCCCGTACTTTCAAAAAATGCGTTTTGGTATGAAAAAATAGCCCTGAATTTCAGCTATTTTTTGATAACTAAGCGCGCATTGTAGCATAAACCAGTGTCGAGAAAAACGCGTTCAAAGCTAGACTACGCAACACTCCGCACCGTCATTATGGGAGTCCGGTACTATTACAGTATTGACGGTAAATTAGTTTAGCTACATTTTATACCATCTACAGATCTTTTAGAAAAAAAAAAGAGAAAAAACTCGGCACTAGCCAGATCCGCAACATTCTAGTCGCAAAAATCTATTCGCACTCTTTTAAGCGTTTTTTGCATTCGCGCTCTTTTAAATGGCGCTCTTCATTTAGTCCCCTGTTGCTAATACATTAAAAGCGTGCCCAAGTATGAATCGGTGTTGAAAACCATTTTGAGATTAGGGCCTGAAAGTGGAGGTCCTCCCTTATAAATAAAGTGTATCATAATTTACGATACACCAACTAAAACTACCCACTAAAATGTGCTGCTCAAAAAATACACCAATTACTTTCAAACTACCCACTAAATTGTGCAAATTTAAAATACAGTGTGCTGCTTAAAAAAATGCCGTCCTTCCCCAAAAATCTTTGTTCAACCGGATGATAGCAAGGGATTTTAAGCTATTTTAAGGTGTTTTTGGTGCTTTATTTACAATTATAGTCAAATTAAATAAATTTAGCGCTGAAAACTTTGTGTTAGAACGCAAAACAAGCTTTACGTCTAAAAATGACGAATGAACAATTCTTCGCCCCCGTTCACAGTATTTACAATATTTAGAGTAGCTAGTAGTAGTCTTGTCTTCGGGTTTTTTTTGTTTTATTATTTACGGTGTTATCTTTGCTGTAATTTTTCATTTAGGGTCGATGTCGAACAAGCCGGAGAGCAGCAAGACTCAACTCGAAACTTTGAAAGCGGATCTACTGGAGAAACTGTCGGCAAAGCTGAAGCCCGATTCAAAGCCATCACCCGTGCTCGCAACGCCGGTCAACATCCAAGTGGAAAACCAAAAGCTGTTGGAGCTGCTCGAGGAAGGGAGCGACGAGAGCCGAGAACAAGCCAAGAAACTTCTCGTCGATCGGAACGCGCTCTTAGTTGCTGGTGATGCAAATACGGCAGAAAAGATAAAAGCCTTGACAGAAGCTGTTGAGTCTCTGCCTCAACAGAGCTTTGCCGTTCAAAGCCTGGTCGGAGCACTCTCCGAGCCACTAGTTCGGTTGATGAGGTAAAGAGAATGACCTTAAACAGTGAAATTTTCAAATTCAGGCATCTCAGCGAACTGTTCCAAAAGGACTTCTTGGCACAATTGCCAGAGGAGGTTTGATAAAGCTTGTGGGGGTAATTGTTTATTTTTAGATTGCTTATCGTATCTTTGCCTATTTGACACCGTGCGATTTGATGACTTGTGCTGGCGTTTCGAGGGCGTGGCGGCGGCTTTGTGAAGATGATCGGACGTGGCGACAGAAATGTTTGGAGAGAGGATATGTGAAATTTGATGCGCCAAGGTTTGTTACAGTTTTGAGCCGATAATATAACACTTAAAAGTACATCTCTGATAGATTTTTATTAAACTAGATTTGAAGAATTGTAAGATCTAGGACCATAAAGTTATTAATTCCAAAGCAGCAATGATATAAAGCGAGAGAAAACATATGGTAATGTTTGTTTGTAACACACTTACAGTTTTGAACAGATTATATAACACTTAAAAATACAAATCTGATAGATTTATATTAAACTAGATTTTAAGACTTGTAGAATATCGGACAGTAATGTTATTAATTCCAAAGCCAACAAAGATGTAAAGCGAAAGAAAACATGATAATGTTTGTTTAAATGAACTGGTTCATATTTAGGAAATTGATTGTTAAAAGACTCGTCTCAAACCTGTTTTTTTAGTTTTCGTTTTCTCGGAGGTCGGGCGACGAATCGAGCAAATAAGCAAACGGGAATCACAATCTGTTCACATATGGACGTTCAAGAAGCACAGCAAAATCGACAAGCACGCGAGATAGCATATGGGGAGTTAGTGACCCAACTTGTTGCGAAATGAATTTTTTTCTAGATGTTATGAGCGTTCGCCATGGAAGTCGCTGTACTTGCGAAAGAAGCGAATCATTTCGAATTGGCGATCCCGGGCGATTCAATCTAGCACTGTTCTGGAGGTTTGAATAAATGGTTTGACCGAAAAGATGGTTTTTAGGATGACTTTAAATACGCACTTTCTCTACAAGCTCACCCTGGTCTTATCATTACTGGTTCTCATGATGATAAGTTGCGGGTCTGGAATGTTGAAGATGCTCAAGTTTATTTTGTTTAATTGTTATTGTACGTCCGAATTTAGCCGGCTTTTACTCTAACTGGTCAGAATCATCAGCCTTCGTCGTATCAAGTGAGCGAAGATGGCAAATACATTGTCTGGTTAGTTAATAGATTATAGCTAGTGCAGTTCATCAGAGTTGCCAATGAAGCTAAAAAGACTCAAACAAAAATTCTTATGACAACAAATTCTATTGTATTATTTCAGTTGCGGGCAGGATGAGACGGTGCGCATTTGGTGTGGTCAAACCGGTGCACAGCTTCATGTTTTGCAGGGACATACGGATTGGATTACATGCATGAGTCTACATGGCACAACGTGAGTGATCTGAATTTTCTGCTTTAGTAAAGGTCATAATGTTTTAGTCTTGTTTCTGGGTCGCTTGATGAAACGCTCCGTGTCTGGGACATTGTCGACGGGAAATGCCTTCACATTTTGGCTGTCGATGCTAGGGTATGTGTATCAAAGTTTTAGCTTAAACTAAATTTCAGAATTGTGTGCAATTTGATGGAGAGCGGGTTGTATCTAGTGGCGGTGATTATGCCGTAAATGTTTGTACAGTTACTAGTGCAATCTATAATATTCTATTAGGTTTGGAATGTACACACGGGGGAGTGCTTGCACATGTTGACGGGTCACACGGATATAACCCTTTCACTTTTGGTAAGCTGAATTTTCAAATTTTGACTTTAATCTGGATTCTGCTTTAGTTTGAGTCACAGCGTGATCTTGTCGTGTCGGGTAGTCGTGACGGGACGATTCGCGTCTGGGATGTGCAAAGAGGAAGTGGCTTTTACTTGTTGAATATTCTGTTACAATGTCATCTATATTTGTTTCTTTCAGCATGCATCGCACATCTTGACTTTCTTCAAGGGTTAAGGTTCGAAGGTTATCGGAACTTTGGGATGCAGCTTCGCGGAAACATTTTGGCTTGCTATTACGACTCGGAAGTTTGGGTATGTTTAATCAATCCTATGAAAACTACTTCCTTTTCTTTAGGTTTGGGACATTCGTGAGGGTGGCTCATGCCTTCACCACTTACATGGCCGAAATGGTCATACGTCGGACATCACTTCATTGCAATTGCTCGACTCCGGGCTTTTGGTGACAGGTTCGATTGATGGCTCGGTGAAGCTGTGGGATGTGGACAAAGGTAGGCTGTTTTAAATTACCTATAGGACTATAGGACACAAAATCCAAACGATTGGCTATAAAATCCGGACTTCAAGTTTTTATTTACACTGGAGTTTATAACTGCATAACATGATTCATTGACGATTCGAGCTTAGAAATATGTTGATGGTTAAGTATTCTGTTGTTAATTTTTTATCAACCATGCAAGAATTTTTCATTTTTAGGTAAATTTGTTCGCGACCTTATTCGTCTTCAATATCAGAATTGTATTCTGGATATCAAAGCCACTGAAACATTGCTTGTCTGTGCGGTTGGATTGGTTGAGCGTTACGGACCTTGAGCCACAAAGCTCGTCTGGATCGATTTTGACGCATCATATCCATAGGTATATTTGTATTTTTGCTCTTTCCCTATTGTGATTTTCCGAAGAATTCTGTCGATTTTTCCATTTTTTGGGAACTTTCATTGCTTGTGATTTCGTTTCAATGATTGCCCACATTTTATATACTTGTATGCCATAGTCTTGATTTTGTGAACCTTTTTTCCCTCTTGAATGTTTCAGAATCATCAAGTGCAAACCATCTTTCAAAATTTCTATCCCTTCAAATTAGTTGGTTGGTTGTTGTCAACGTTCGATTATTTTTAGTCCGCATAAAGTCCTGTGATTATTTTTAGTCCATATCGAGTCCTGTGATTCTTGATTTGCTCGATTTCAAGATTCAAGAATCTACATCTTACCGGTTTAAATCTAAATAAACTGCACGAGCAACTGATATTAGCAAAAAAGCAACCCAGGTCAACTGCCAAACTCCTTCAATGAATACGATTCCACAGATGAAAATTCACTCTGACAAAAGCTCTGGCTTTCGGCCTACAGTTTTCAAATGTACGGTGCACATCCGCGCGAAAATGTGTTTTCTATAGGATTTTTACGTTTGAATAGCCGATTGACACAGAAAAATGTTCTGAATCGGAAAATAAATGAATTTTTGAAATCCCTTCGACAACTTTTTTAAAAATGGAGTTTTAGTGATTTTACTGTGTTAAATTTCAGCCATATTTTATTGTCGTGGCGAAATTTTGGAAACAAAAGCCTAAGACAAAAATGTAAACCGCAAGTTTTATTCTCCGGGCTTTTCTCTATCTTTTGATACCAAAAGCATAAAAATTGATCAACCCTATAAAAAGTTATAACCTTTTGAAAATAAAAATGTGGTTTCTGGGTTATTTTATTATCAGACCTGGGCCATTTTAATTAATCTTGTTTTCAATGTTGTTGTTTCGATAAACTTTAAAATGTTATTTCAAAACGTTTAACATAAACTGTGCGCGCATTCCTTTCTTGGATTAATTCCCGTCGAGGCCAGAAAAATTCAAAAGCAAAGCAGCTGTTAATAAAAAAACAACTTTACTTAAATCCGCAGGGATCGATACATCATCTTGTAAAGAAGAAAAATAGCGAAAATGGTTTGATTGTAGCAAAAAAAGTTTAATTTGCTCTTTTTAAACCCAGAAACCACATTTTTATTTTCAAAAGGTTATAACTTTTTAAAGGGTTGATCAATTTTTATGCTTTTGGTATCAAAAGATAGAGAAAAGCCGGTAGAATAAAACTTGCGGTTTATATTTTTGTTTTAGGCTTTTGTTTCCAAAATTTTGCCACGACAATAAAATATGGCTGAAATTTAACACAGTAAAATCACTCAAACTCGATTTTTAAAAAAGTTGTCGAAGGGATTTCAAAAATTCATTTATTTTCCGATTCAGAACATTTTTCTGCGTCAATCGGCTATTCAAACGGAAAAATCCTATAGAAAACGATTTTTTGCCTTATTTCGCGCTGATGTGCGGTGTGCTTTTTGACTTTTGATTGTTCACAGGCTTCAATTAACAGAATCTTGCTTACCATTTTGTTACACGAAACGCTAACAAGGGAAGTGCACCCACTTAAGGTGAACTTTTGGATCGAGGTCCAACCAATTCTTTTTATTTTGATCTTTCAACACAACTTTGTTTTATTTTTATATTTCACAAGGTATAATATTGAATTTTTATATAGAAGTCTATAAACAGGAATTCTAGAATAGACGCTCTTTCTGCTTTCCTAAATGAAATCGCCAACAAAGATTGTGCAGAAAATATGTGTTGTGAAAGATCGTTTATTCTGTCCTTTATGTGGGTGGTAATAACTGTTTTGTTTGTTACTTCACTTTTTATCATCAATGTTGAGCTGTGAATGGTCAATCTTGTTCATAAACCTCAATACAAAAAAATTCATTGTGATATTTCCTCAAATCGAAAGCTAAAAGAAATTTAAGTGTTGGATGGTCAAATAAAAAGCAAAACAAAGGATGGAAATGAACTCAAGCAACAAATGAAGAAATCATTTCGTACATAAGCCCTCTACCCCACTGCACCGCCACTCCACATTTGACTGGGACTGAAGGAATTTTCTGAGGGAATCCCTTTCGGCCAGGAAAATTTCATTTCTTGGCTACAAATTTAAAACGTTTGTAACTTTTGATAGCGAGCCATTTTGCAACAACGAAAAGCAGGTTCGGAATCAGGATAAAATTCTGCATCGCACCAACGGGGTCCCAATGCAAAAGCTCGCCTTAATTGAGTGCACTTCCCTTCCGAGTTTACCCTGTTTCTCTGTATTTGTGAGCAAGTTTAAGCGATTTATCGTGCATGTGTAAGTTGTGTAACAAACACCAAAAAATCAAGAATTGCAGAATTGCAGAAAATTGCAGAATCAAGTCTGATTTGGGAGTCACGAGTGATTCTTGAATTCTGTGATCTGTCGACGATCAACGATTTGAAAGATTTACGTGAAATTTGACGATCGATCTTTGTCTAGCTCCTAAGAATTACGATCTGTTGGACTTAATCTGTGATTTTCTCTTTCTCTTTCCCTTTCCCTTCTCCCCTTTTTTCTTCAGACAATGATGCCCCTTTGTGAGCGGACACGAGAATCGGTGATAAGCAAGAGAATTTGCGACTTGCACTCATAAATTTTCACTTCCAATCACTCATAAATTCTATCGACTTATTTACGGATCCCGAAAAAAAAACTGAAAATTATCCCTTTTCGGATTTCTTGGCTTCGAAAAATGCCAAAAAATTCCCCTTGACAATAAATGTCAAAGAAACTCCTCAACTTTTGCCCATTTTCCCCATTTCTTCTTTGTTTTCTTGACTCTTCCCCGAGTTCTGGTAGGGAAGAGTTTGAACGATTTTCTGCGCTATGGATTCAAAAAGATATCCTAAAAACCTTTGCACACTTGTTTTTGAACGCACTTGAGCTGAAAAAGTGATTATTTTGATTTTGCAACAGTTTTTTTTGGAGCCCCGGGGATGCCTGTTGTAGATCCAACAACAGATAACCACCCCACCCCTCCCCTGCCTCCATTTGTTTCAAAAATGATAAACCATTCCCCTTTCGCCCATCTAGTTCATCAAATTATGCCCCTTTTCGCTTTTTGGCCGCCAATTCCACCCCGCACAATTGATGTGTTTATTATGCAGCGCCCCTTGCCTTTCCCTTGTCAATTTCTGCCTGAAAATTGAGAAATTTGTCACCCACCGTTAGCCATTCGTCTAGTTGGATGTCACAGTAGCTTTAAATTTAATTATTTACTTTGAAAGACGATTTTTGAAATTTTAGCTTATCATGGTTGAAAGAGAGCAAGAGATTTTCTTGAAAATTTTCGATTCTATCGAGAATTTACATACTTCTTAGTGGATTCGGGAGCGCATTGGATAATCAGCGCTTAAAAAGAGCTTTAAAAAGAATTTTTAAAAGAAATCTTATTTTGTTGATTGATCGAGAGCGCCGGCGACAGTTGTTTTAATTGAACGATCTCGAGAAGAGCCGATCCGAGATTCGATCACTTCTTGGGTGTAAAAGAGTGTGCTGTCTTTTCGAAAAGTTAATCTAACTATTCCTAGTGACATTTGAATAGGGTTTTCTTTTTTCGATTGCTACTCGATGGCCGCTTTTCGCTTTTCAAACAATTCTCGATTTTGACAATATGCATAGAATCGTCAATCTTGCCGTTTCCAAGTCTCTACCAATTCATTCAAAAATTCCGTCAAAGTCAATCAACCACTTCCCTTCTTCCCTTCTTCCTTCCTTCCTTCCCTTCTTCCTTTCTCTTCACTATTTGTGATTTCCCTGGGTGATTGATGTCTCCTTTGGGAAAATCGGGCGCGACTCCTAGCCTCTAAATTTTGAGTCTGTTGATATTTTTAGCCATTTACCCGCAAACCCTGACACTTCTTTGAATTTATTACCAATTTAGAGAGATTTATTGCTTTTCGAGCCTTTCCCTTTACTGCAGAACCGTTGAAGTCTTGATCCAACTTGATCCAACTCGATCCAACTCCAAACTTCATCCAATCTTACTCATTCGCCGCTGAAGTCTTGTTGCTGTTGCTCGTTTTTATATCCTAGTCTCAGCTCTTTCGTCAAAATCATCAAGATTACAGTCTTTAGAAAATAACAAGCCTAACTATTGGAGAAATGTCAGATATTAAAGCAACCAAGAACAATCAAGAACCTGGACTGAGAACTCCTCCCTTAGCCAGCACATTCCTCAGATCTAACATCAGGTTACCATTCATTTTGATTAATGGAAATTGCCCTAGAGCACTTTGAAGATGAAAAAGATACCAAAAAATGGGTACAGAATTAGCAAAGACTTCCGTAGACTCAAAATCAAAGATTTTTGATTCAAAGATTCAATGGAGTCAACTAAATCAAAGATGCAAAGATTGACGCGAGAAGAATTTGCCTTCTACTAGGTACAATAGGGAAAAGTTTCTTGAAAAAGATGAAAACTATTTTGTATTGATATAAGGTAGCTTTATTGAAGAAAGATTTCTTTTTGAAATTGACGATTGGCCAACCGAATAGTTTATGGCTTAATCTAGCTGTCTGTACCTGTACCCGTTCTCGGTTTTAGCTTAAAAAGCTTAGAAATTTCCACAATATAGACTTAAACAGGCTATTGGAGAGTTGAGAACGATTTAGGGAACGTTTTGGAAGCAGTTTAGATTATGGGGGCTTCTCTAGCTTCTTTCAAATTATTCTTTACACAAAAACTACTGGAATCTGACCGCCGATTTCCATTTGATCAGCTTAATTTTAGTCACATTTGACAAAGGAATAACAAAATTTGATAAATTGGGCTCAAAATTGAGTTAATCGAATGAAAACTGGCAACGAAAGTACGGTTTATGAGAAAATCTGCAATTTACATTCGAGAATTGACTCTGCCACTCGATTATTGAAACCTTTTTCTCGATTCTGTCATTTTTTTTTCCCAATTTTTT